TGAAAAAGAAGAAAAAGAGCATCATGTCGAAACTCATGTTACAACATCTTGGAAAATGTGATAAATATTCAAACCAACCTCAGTCAACTTGGAAGTGTCACTATTATGGAGAGTATGGTCATATAAAGCCTTTCTATTTCAAATTGTATGGAGATCAAAGAACTTCAGTTCATTCTAAGGCTAACACAGTGAGCAAAAAGAGAAGTGTTGAAAATAGGGATGTTAACCTTATAGCACATACTTATTTGAGAGACTCATTAAGTGAAGACTGGTACGTTGACAATGGATTCTCTAGATATATGACAGGGATCAAGAAGATGTTGGTGGATGTCAATCCATATCCCACAGGGTCTGTTAGATTTTGTGATGGTTTTAATGGAGAAATAAAAGGTGTTGGAAAGCTGGTGTGTGATGGTTGTCCCAGGTTAGACAATATGTTGTATGTCAAAGGATTGACTGCTAATCTCATTAGAATTAGTCAACTGTGTGACCAAGGTTTGTTAGTGAACTTCTCAAAATTTGAATGTCTGGTAAAAAATGAGAAAGAAGTTTATCTAATGAAAGGTGTCAGGTCCAAAGACAACTGCTACTTGTGGGAATCTCAAATAGTTGCTTACTCTTCCATGTGTTCAACAACCAAGGAGGATGAAGTAAAGTTATGACACCGAAAATTTGGACATCTTCATTTTAACATAATGAAGGAAGTCATATCTATAGAAGTCCTTAGAGATTTTCTAGAGCTCAAGATTGAAGAAGGAGAAGTATGTAATCAGTGTGAAAGAAAAAAGTAGGTCATAATGTCACGCCCAATATTGCAACATCAGACTACATCTAAAATATTGGAACTTCTTCACATGGATGTAATGAGACCGTTACAGATACACAACTTAGGAGGAAAAAAGTATGTCTTTATGGTTATGGATGATTATTCTGGCTATACTTGGATGAATTTTATTAGAGAAAAATCAGTTACCTTTGATGTCTTCAAAGATATGTGTCAAAGCATTCAAAAGGAGAAGATGATTATGATTGTCAAAATCAGAAATGACAATGACAAGGAGTTTATAGATGTAAAATTTTCTGAATTTTGTGATTTTGAAGGAATAAGTCACGAGTTCTCTTATTCCTAGAAAACTCAGGGAGATGAAATTGTTGAGAAAAAGACTAGATCAATACAAAAATCATCTAGAGTAATGCTTGGTGCCAAGCAATTGCCATTTAAGTTTTGGGTTGAATCTATGAATATAACTTGCTATATTCATAATAGGATCAATTTGAGGGGAGGTACTGTCTCTACTCCTTATGAGTTATGGAAAGGAAGGAAACCTAAAGTCAAATACTTTCATATTTTTAGAAGTAAATGTCAGGTCTTATCTACTAAAGATCAAGTGGACAAGGTGATTTCCATAAGGGATGAATGGATATTTCTGGGTTATTCTTCAAGTCGGGGAGCATATAGGATGTATAACTCTATAACTGGTATGGTTATGGAATCTATCAATGTGAGAATTGATGATTCAATTACTGAAAGAAAAGAGGATGTCAGTGATAATGTTGGAATATCCTATGTGCAAACTGATGAAGCATTAGGATATGAGACTTGTGAATTCATAAAATCTGAATAGGGTAATTCTCAATCCAGTATAATTTTGTCTACTAAGGGGGAGTTAGAAAAAACCAAGGATTTGACTGTAAGGCACTCTGATAAAGGTAAAATCACTAAATTCAAGCAGAACATATCAAATATAGATGTATGTCTTGCCTTGAGGGAAACAAGTGGAAGGTACTTTGAATTGATGTTGAAGAGGTATGATGTCAAGAGAGATGTCATGATATTTCACAATGAAGATCGGAATTCCTTCAGATATCTTATTCAACATGACTGGTACAAGGATCTTGGTAGTGGCATTGGAACTTGTACTATTGAAGAGTTATAACAATTACAGAAAATAGGGAATGCAACTTCTACTGCATCATTCCTCTATGTTCTGAGACATGACATACCTGGACTAATTGTTGCTAAGAAGGACTGGAAGAATGGTATTCTACAAGATAGTGGGGCTGGCTACAACACCAAGGAATGCATAAGGATCTTTGATAGAGGAATAAAGCTCTTTGACAGGGACTAGAGGTGGAAAACCACTTAAAGCTGGCCAAGGAGTTATGTTTTCATCTATGTGTTTCCATTTGTGGTATTGCTAGTGTTCAATTTGTGTGGTTCCATCTGTGTATATGCATGCCTGACTGCTATGTGTTGTTGCCTGAGTGCAATATGTTCTGAAGTGCTCTATGTGTTTCCATTATGTATATTTACCATGGTTCTTTTTTGTCAATATTTTGGCTAAAAAAGGGGAGTAAATTGTTGTGTCTTGATGTTATATCACATGTCTTGACATGTTGATTTAACATTATGATAGGATTGTGTGCTACTGCTTCTATGAAAGTAGTTGTGTGTATGGTTGCTCATGCAATCATTGAGGGGGATCATGTGTGTTCATGCTTGTGTGTGCTGAAGCTGCTACTGTTGCTTCTACGGTTCTGCTGCAGGTGCTATGGTGTGAATTTTATCCTTGAGAGGGAGAACCAATTATTTTTCACAGGGAGAGTTCTAAACATTTCTGTGTGTACAAGCTTCTGAGTTGTGTTTTTACAGAGTTCACATGATAAGAATGTAGCTTGTGTTGTGGTTTTATTCCTCTCTCCAATTGAATTTGGTTTTGGTTGTTTTAGTTAAAATTTTCTAAAGGGGGAGATCGTTAGTTTCATGTTTTTATGGTTGGCTAAATTTTGGCTAAGCATGGGTCTATGTTAATGTTAGTAAGATGGTGCAATATCTTTATCAAGTGTCATAGCAGTTCCAGCTGTTATGAGGTTTACTATTAGATATTAAAGACGATGTTATAACATTTGGACCAGCAGGTACAAACAGGTTCTGCAGGTGCCTTATTTGACAAATGTTCCAGCAGGTGTTGTAATATGTTACAATAGAACATCTTGATAGTGCGTTGAATATTTTATCCTTGAAGATTTAATTTGAAGATATGAGTATCTGGAATATTTTGTACTCGTTATAGGCGTAGGCCAATAACGAATTTTATTTGAAAGAAGTGCAGATTTGATTGGTTACTAAAAATGATCGATTGATACTTTTTAGGAACCTTTTTATGAAGATTGTTTCTATTTTACGGTGAAAGATTCTGCAGGTTTTTGGGAGCTACTGATTGGATTTGATTGAAGAGTCCAGGCCCAATTGTAGAAGACTATATAATGAGTCGTCCAAGACCTAATTTTTAAACAGAGTTTTTATTTGTAAAATCTTGTAAAGAAATAAGGGTTTAGGGTTTGTAGTTCCTTAGGTTCTCCGTGTGTTTTGTTTGTACATTCTCATGTATCTCTGATATATTTGAGTTGACTGATTGTTACTTGCTTGTCAAGTTATTGTTCTCACTCAAAGCCCGTAGGGACGAGTTGAATATTGTTCTTAATGAAGCTTTTAAGCAAACTAAGTATTTGTAATTTGGAAGTGTGTTCTTCCTGTTTTGGTTTCAAGTTGTTGTGATTGTGATTTGTTTATAGACAACTCATGTGATTGGGATAGGTCTTTTATCACTACAGTGATTAGAAGTGGGAAGACGATTTCTCATATGTAGGGAGGAGCTAGGTATAAGTTGCACTGGGTAGGGATTAGGCGAGAAATTGTAAATGGGGGAGTTTAGCTTCGAACTAGTACTATTGATGGTGGATTTCCTTCCTGGCTTGGTAGCCCCTAGAATAAGTGAGTTAGCACTGAACTGAGTTAACATATCGTTGTGTTCTTTACTTTCTATAAGTTATTTTTATGCATTGTTGTTATTGTTGTTGTTCTGTCAACATATGTTATAACATTTGTCTTGACATTGTGTGTTGTTGAGACATCCGTCTTGACTTCTGATATATTGTGCGTGTCAGAATTTCAAAGGACGTTCTTCCTACTAGGATCTTGATTCACAAATAGAATATATGTCATATTACCGAGGTTTATAATATTATTTATGTATACAACATTTATTTAAGCAAAAGATTTATTTTTTAAAAAATTTTAAGGAATCTTGAGAAATACTAATCTTGTGCGTGGATGGGATTGACATGCTTCCCTTATTTGAAAATTTTATGTAAGTCTTTCAAAACTCAGATTCAATACAAAATTTGAATTTCCTAAATCATGAGGTTTTTAGTATTATGAATAAAAACAAACTCTTCAAAACTCACAACTAAAATTGTTCAATTCTTTTCATTCAATCATTCCTCTATTTTAAAATCCTTCACTATCTTCCCCTTCAAACTCTCAAACAAACCCTAGAAGTTGGTGAAGACACAACTATGAAAGTCAACATCAAGTTGGATGATATCTATATCCGATTTGTTGTGACACACCCTAAGAATTTGGAAGGTTTTTCTTGCTTTACAATTTTTTATTGATATTTGATCAACATTTGTTTGATAATTTTCTCCAAATATGAAAGTCACATACTATACTATAACTAGGTTACAAAGAAGGAATCTCTTGTGATAATGTTGCAAAGGGAAAAGACATTGAATGAACTTCTAGGAGTTGCCAAGAAAAACATGTTCTCGAGAGTATTCTTCTAACTCTAAAGATTTTAGTTTTAATTATTATGACATTTTTTTAAACATTTTGAAAAAACTAAATAGGTTTCTAATCTTTTTTTTCTCCTTTCTAATTTAGTCCTTGACTTTACCAATAATTTGTATGTCTTTGAACTAAATAGTTCTGCATTTATATGATATAAGAAATGTAGCACATCAATGGGTGTATCAAAATTGAGCATCAAAACTTTGCATTGTAAAAGTGATTTTACACTTTCTGTTTACACAAAACATAATATCTATTTTCTGCACTGTTTCAGCCAAAAAGAAATCAAATTCTTGAGATATGTACAATAGGACACCATGTAAATTCAATGTAATGAATATATGTTTCCTTTTCCTAGTGCTACTAGTCAAGAATTTATTGACCAATCATAATTTTTGTATGATATATGAACTGGACCACCATCATCTAAGAGATGTGTCAAAAGACCTGTTTTGTTTGCATCCAAGTAGTTCATTATCCATTTTACCACATTTCTCTCATGTCCAAAATCTGCACTGTACCTGCCAATAACAAAAATATATATTCCATAAGTATGGAGCTAAAAATTAATTGACATGCTCAGTCAAAACTAAGACGGTATTCAAAGTATTTGGATGAGATGGTAAGAGCTCTCTTTTATTTTAACCAGGGATCTTAGATTCGAACTAAGTATTGGAAAAAGAGTTTTACCATCCATTGTGGTTTTTTCCGACTCGAGGGATTAGTCTCTGCAGTTGCCTGCAGAGGATACTCTGTGTTTCTACTACAAAACCAGGACTGCATAGGTTCAAAAACTGCTTACCACTTAAAAATTGGACTGAGATGAAGAGTCCTCTTCTCTAGGTCAACTTCGATTCCATCGTTCTCTAAGAACTCTCTAGCTGCACATCTCAATTCTTCTGCAACTCTACAAGGTGAAAAAAATCTGACCTTTGGGCTTGACTTTGTGCCATTACAAAGTCCAAAGTGAATCAAAGGATTCATTTTGACAACTGCAACCTGTAGAGTTGTAAGAATAAGCCAATAATTTCATCATATGAAACAATATTATCAATAGCATAATGTGAAAACAAGAACAAAATAAACTGAATACACACACTTTGAGACCAATCCTGGTAACGAAAAACACTATTTTGGCTAGAAGTTCGACCATTTTTGCCTACCTCTAACCGTCTGTCTCTTGTGCCAAAGGGCTTGACTAAGGAATAAGGCGACCTCCGATTGCTTCTAAGAATACCATTTGTAATAATGGCAAGAGAATAAGAATGTCCTCCGATCAGATACTGGAAATCAGAGAAGGATCTCCTATTAATCGCACCTTCTTGACACCCTACTCTTATCATAGCATGGATAACCATGGCATTGTACATGTTTAAGAAGAAGGCGAGTTTCTCGTTTTCAGATAGTTCTAAGAGATCCACCCTCTGCAGATCCTGAGTCATGTTTACATACCTGCAATTTAAAATAATTTTAGACAAAGTAATACTCATCAGAAGTAACAAAATCTAGATTCCATTCGTTTATAGGTAATGTTGAAATGACTCACTGCTACATAACAAAATCAGTTGAGCTACCATTCTAAGGAGTTACTTGTGCTGCAAGCAACCTTAGGGCTGTCATATTCATGACTAGAGGTTACCGACAAAATATTATAAGCTTATGACAACAAGATTTACGCCTGTACCTTCGAAATTCCTCACTTTTGCTGATGGCCACATAATCAACACGTCTCCTATCTTCAGAAGCATAAGATTCAAGAATAGCATACATAATCTTGGTAAGTCTATCACAAACTGTAGCTGCATTTTTCGGTTCACTGTCATTTGTGGTACCACGGAAATTGAAACATTTTGGGATAAAACCTTCGTGCTCAAGGAATCGGTAGAAGTGATTTCCCTCCTCGAAATCAATTTCCCTACATACAAAAGTTGAGAATAACAACAAAATTAATAAAGAAACATTACTTAAAATCACATTTTTAGTGTGTTTCGTTTCAGAGGTTGTTTTCTTACCCGAAAACTGAATTGATGAAGTACTTTTGGCATAACAGACTTCCTATCTCAACCGCCTACGCATTTGTTTTGGAATGAAAAATCATTTAGGTGAAACATTATGGTCAGAGAAACAACATTAGGAACAATGTTTAAAATTTTAAAACTAAAACAAAAATGTATCATATTCAGAAACTGAAAATTATTTTCATATTAGAATAGAAAATTCTATTTAACACTGACACTTCCAAAAAAAGACGTATCCGTGTTCATATACGTGACCACCTCTAACTTTTTTTATTATTAAACCACTATTATGTTTAATTAATTTAATTTTTAAATTATTAATGATATCACTAATTGTATTAGGAGTTTCCGTACTTTATTAGAATAAACCTACATTAAAAATATCTTTCATTTATAAATATTAATTTTTTTTTTTAAATTATTAAATACACAAACTATGTTTTACAAAACTTACTACTTAATTTAATTTGATTGGTGTTATTATTTAAAATAAAAAGATATATATTGAAAGTGTAAAATAATTTTATACCGTCTACCAACACAACCATATTAAGTGTTAAGTCATACTAATATTCATATCAAGTGCTAAGTCATACTAATATTTTTAAATAAATTATATGATACAGTTAAATAATAAAACTTTATTATTTTACACATATTTTTAACTTTATTATTTAACAAAAACATTGAATAAAACTTCAAAGATAATTTAAAAATATCAATTCACAAAACGACAAATTCAATACTCTATATAAGCAAATCAAATCAAAGAACGTATAATATCAATGCAACTCCGATTTGCAAAGGTCATTCTTTTCGCCGGACTTATCAATATAATAATAATAATAACAACGTAATATAAATTGCGTGACTAAGTCAAAATTTTAAAACTATTTGGGAAGTTTCCTTTGTATTTCACCAAAAGAAATTAGCATAAATTGAGTGACTAATTCTATTTTTATTTTTTTTTGAGAAAATGTTTTCCATTTTTACATTGTTTTCCATTTTAAACTAACAATTGTTAGTTTAAAATTCAACTCTATTTAATTTAATTTATTAATATAAATAAATTATTGATACTCATAAATTAATCATTTTTAATATAATATTAATTATTGCAAATTGTTTTTTTGTCATAAAATTATTTAAAATATCTTCTAGACTCTCTAGAAACTAGTACATGACCCAAAATATATACTACTTATAATAAACAAATTAACTATTCTATCTACTTTTCTTTAACAAAATATCTTTCTCTAAAAACAAAAAAAAAGTCAATTACATTTCTAATGAAAATATTATAATCTATCAAAATCAAAATATGGACAAAAAAAATTCCATTTTTTATTTTGAAATGTCAAATATCATTTTCTAAACTATTGAACTTATCATAAAAAAACAATATGAAATTAAAAATCTAAATAAAAAAAAAATCAAAATTATCAAACAAAAAAAAAACAAAAAAAAAACATACCTCAGCATGAACATATCCATGGTGACGAATAAGAAACTCCACCAACTCAGTCCCAGCAAAACAATTTCTCACAATCTTCATCTTCACCAACCGATCTTGAATCGGCAACCTCTGTCTCAACGCTCTCACCACCTTCACAATCTCCACCTCCTCCTCCACCACCTCTTCCGCCACCTCATCAAATCCATACTCCGGCGCCACCGGAACATCGCCGGAAAACTTCTCATCCGCAACTTCATTCAGCTTCTTCTCCAATTCACCGCCTTCGTTCTTCCTCATCGCGTTCAGCTCCACCAATCCTCCGATCAGCTCCCCGTTGAAGAAAATCTTGGGAACGTTTGTGTTTCCCGTTCTTTGATACAGCTCATTTTCCCTCTTGGTGTACACATCGACGTTGATTTCAACGAATTTCATTCCTCTCTCCTTGAAGAATCTTCGAACTGCAGAACAGTCTCTGCAGTTGGATTTAGAAAACAACGTGATTTGAACTTTGCCCAACGACAAGTCGTTTTTCGTCTCTACAACTACTTTTAGACCTGATAGTTTGAATTCCGTAACATCGTTAAACGACGAGTTGTTTTTGTCGTTTATGTCGTCGATGGATGTTTTTATCGACGAGATCGTCCGCGATATAGCCGACGACAGGTTGTTACTACGTTGGCGGAAGAATGTTTTGAATGTTGACGGAGCGGCGTCGTTTGGGGGTTTGGGATTTGAAGTGGCGATTGGTGGTGTTGGTTTTGGGAGAAGTGAATGAGGTTGGACTATTGAGAGAGTTTTTGCAACGGAAATGTTACCGTTGGTGTTGGTGTTTGTGTTTTTGTTTTCATTGGATTTGTTAATGTTTGTGTTTGTCGTTTGGTTTGGAATGTGTTGTTCTACCTCAGAACCCATTTCAGAGGAAGATAGTGTAAGAATGAGAGAATGAAATGAAATTGGATGAAGGTGGTGATAATGGGTATTTAATGAGGAGGATTTGATGATTGATTGAGTCCAAAAAATTATAACTTGGTGATGAATATTGACAAAGGTGTTGGGGGAGTGTACGAGGGACGTGGTCTTTATGCTCTAGTGGTGTACTAGTACTTATTTCTCTTTGATTAAAATAAGTAGATTTTACAAAATTTCTTCTATTTCAAGAGGAATAAATAAATTGGCTATTAGTCATGTGAGATGGGAGACAGAGGAGTAATAGATTATTTAAAGATTAAAGATATAATATCTTTCGAATGAGTAAAAAAATATTAAAGAATTAATTGATATTATTCATAATTAATATAAATATCAATCCATGTATTTAAGTGGGGTATTCTTACTTTTAGTATAAATTGTATTAAAATTTTAATTTATTTTAAAATAAAAAATAAAAGTGATGTGGTATTGAATCATAATATTATAATATTTGATTGATTGAGATTATCTGTACTCAAGTAAATTCAAGATTATCATATTATTCACTTTTATAAATTAATATATTTTAAAAAATATATTAATTTATAAAATAAATAATATTTTTTAGAATTCAATCTTACATAAATAATAAATAGTTTATACATATTTATCGGAACCATCACGTATCAATTGAGCTACCACCCTCGTCTAATTTTTATAATTATAATTATAATTATAATGTTTGACTTATTATATTTAATATTTTATCTAATTTAAAGTTTTTTTATAATTATTTGTGCAAAATTATTTTATATTTTTTTCATTCTAGAATAAAAACTGAATAAAATTGATGAACTAGATGTCTTGAACTGAATGTGTTGATCCTCGTAACTTCGACATGGGATGGATCTGCATGACTAACACTCTTACACCTAAGTCAGTTCAATAAGAGTTTATGTGTAAGCTAAATTTTATATCTTGAGTCGAGTGGAGTGGAATTGAAGCGAATTTGACCTTGGATATTTGGGCATTTCGTCGACCCATAGCAGTTGCCTAAAGGTTTTGTCGGGCTTGAGTGAGTTGGTGAAGCCGTAAGTGAGTTGGATGTCTTTCAAGATGTTGTCTAGTGTGAGCTAGAACTGAAATGTTTGGAGTCAATTGAAAAAATAGTGGGGAACAAGCGAATTAAATGCATTTTCATCATAGAAACGTTTCATCGCCTCCCTCTGACAAGTGTGTTGGTGTGACTAGTTAAGGCACGTCATGACTTATACTGCCCTTGAGTGCACTAGAGTATGCATGTATTTTCAAGGAGAATTTCAAGCGTTAATTTTGCAACACATCCCTCTAGTTGATCTGAGTCGTTCAGTTGCCATCGCCTATAAATTGGAGGAGTAAAGCATTTTTTTTGAACTTTTTGTAATTCTTGGCATTCAAGTTTATTCATAGTCAATTTATTGAGAAACGCCTATGTCTCCTCTTTCTTGAGATTATCAGTCAGAGTGATTGTCGTGCGTTGATCAGATTCTTTGTTTATTCTCCACCTACTTCGCTTAATCAATCTCATACAACAAGGTACCCTCCTAAACTCAGCTTTTATCTTTCAGCATTTCCAATTCTTTAATCAAGATGAGTGATAGTACATTAATCTAGTGAGTGATTATATAATTGATACTTCTTCTTCTGCAAGAATGGGGGAATCCCATAATTCTCATCTTCTTTCACTTGTTCATGATCAGATAGGTCCAAAAGTGATATCTTTATCAGATGATTCTTACTCAAAAAGGGTATTTAGATATTCCTTAGAGGAAGTAGTTTTTTCATCTAATTCATTAGAAACTCTTTTATAAAATGTTGGGAGAGAGTAAGTTGTCACTTTACTTTGTTTCATTTGGCTTGAAATAAGTTCTAACTTATGGTAAATCTCAAACATCAGCAAATTCCTCAAAAGGTATAGATATATTGTGCTTTTAAATAATTTCGTCTCTGAAGTAGAGACTTGAATAAAAACATCTTGGCTTAAGATGAATGCATTTTTCTTTGAGGGATGTAGATAAACACTTTAAGTTTGATTATTCAAGAGCCTTGAAGAACTCACACTCTTGAAATACCCTTTTTCATCCAAGGTATGAATGGAAAAAACACCTTACTTTCTAATTCTTGACAGAATCTGTCTTCTTTCTCTTGGGGTGAAAAATCATCAGAAAGATAGAGAGGAGAGGAGAATCTTAATCTCTTAGGTGTCATATTGATGATTTTTATGTACTAAAGTAGTATTCTCGCATAAAAAAAAAAAAAAAACTAAGAAAACACAAGAAGAAGATAAGAACAGATGATGCAAAAAAAGAGAATATGGGTGCCTATTTATAATGCTTCTAATCGTTTGGGAAGTGTAAAAACTTCATAAAATCAATGAAGATTCGGCCCAAAAAATATTGGAAGAAAAACTTTCCAAAACATATGTGATAATCAATTATTCAAGAGGAATAATAAATTATTTACTATTAATTTTGAAGATTTAATGTGTTCTTCATTTATTCTCTAACTTAATTTACTTTAAGGTAAAAATATGTTTTGATCTCGCTTGAAATTTGAAACGTATAGACCACCTAATCGATTGAGCTAATATATCATTTGCCTTAATTTCACCATTCTTAGTCTTTGGGTCCTTGGGCTGAGATATGACTATGCCAGATTTCTTTTGGCATTCCTTTTATTTATTTATTTCCACCCATTCTCCAAAAATGCTCAAAAATTAAATAAATCATTAGTAAAAATAATTTTAAATGAGTGAGCAATTATCAAACCACTTATTTAAAATGTTAGTTAGAGTTTTATTATTTTTCAACCTTTAAAAAGTGTACCTCTTAAAACATAAAGTAAACTTTAGAAAACTTCCTCTTGCAGGGGAACGGTAAAACATTATCTTAAATCATTCTCTCCTAATTATTTAATGCGAGAGTTGAGTTAAATTATGATACTGATAAATCTATCATAAATTTATATCCTCTACCATTATTATGAAAAACACATACAATAACGGTTGCAAAACACATATAATGACAGTAGCATGCTCGTTATTAGATAGTGTGTGATTGTATGTATGATGGCTACCATAACGGGCATGTGACCGTTGTTATAAATTAAATAGCACGCTACATACAACCACAATTATATTAAACAACTGTTATTGTATGTCTTTTAATAAAATAAAAATACAGGAGTAGAACAACATCAACAACAAGAACAACAAAAACAAGAAGAACAATAACAACAACAAAAAGAAGAAGAAGAAGAAGAACAACAAGAACAACAAGAAAATAATAATAATAATAATAATAATAATAATAATAATAATAATAATAATAATAATAATAATAATAATAATAATATTAATAATAATAATAATAATAATAATAATAATAATAATAATAATAATAATAATAATAATAATAATAACAACAACAACAACAAGAACAACAACAACAACAATAATAAAAAAAACAGAATAACTAGAACAACAACAACTAACATTGTTAACTTGAATCCATACTTTCCTTGTCTCATTTAAGTTGGAGAAGAGATGATGGAGTTCTGAAATTTGTTAATGAAAGTAGTAAATTAGGAGAGACTAAGAGACATTTAGGTTAAACAGTGTGTCTTGAAAAGCACTACGAAGACTTTATTATATATAGAGAGATTATAATTAATGTTATGATATAGTCGATGTGGGACTATTCTACATACAAATATTCTTAACACTCCCCCTCAAGTTTGAGCATATAAGTCAAATGCATCAAGCTTGCCACATATATAATTAGTTCTGGGACTTCGCAGAGATTTTGTAAACACATCTGCCAATTGGTCATTCGAGTTGACAAAGCTTATGGTGATGTCTCCTGATTCGATCTTCTCTCTGACAAAGTGATAATCAATCTCAATATGTTTAGTCCGCTCATGGAAGACCGGATTTGAAGCAATGTGCAATGCAACTTGATTATCACAAATAAGTGTCATTGGTCTTGGTTCTTCAATTTTAGGTTCCTTGAGCAACTGTTTTAACCAGACAAGTTCACATGTTGCCATCGCCATGGCTCTATACTCTGCCTCGGCGCTTGATCTTGCAACTACATTTTGTTTCTTACTTTTCCAAGATATAAGGTTTCCTCCAACAAGTACACAATACCCAGAGGTGGATCGTCTATCAATTGGTGATTTTGCCCAATCAGCATCGGAGTATCCAACTATCTGAATATGTCCTTTATCTTCATACACTAACCTTTTCCTGGAGCATATTTGATGTATCTCAGAATCCAGATGACAACATCCATGTGTTTCTAACAAGGAGAATTTAGGAACTGACTTACCACACTGTCTGCAAAAGAAATGTCTGGACGAGTGACTGTGAGATAATTCAACTTTCCAACCAATCTTCTATACCTTCCTGAGTCAGATAGAGGCTCCCCCTGATTGGATAGTAGTTTGACACTTGGATCCATAGGAGTATCAGCTGGTTTAGCATTCAACAAATCTGTTTCTTCCAAATCCATAGCATATTTCCGTTGAGAAATCACCAAACCATCTTTAGATTGGGCTACCTTAATACCCAAGAAATACCAGAGTTTACCAAGATCTTTTGTCTAAAATTGATTCGAGAGATGTTGTTTCAACCGGAGTATTCCCTGCTCATCACTACCAGTTATGACAATATCATCTACATACACAATAAAATAAATACACCCTTGGACTGAGTGACGATAAAAGACGGAATGGTCAGCTTCACTACGGATCATACCAAATTGTTGTACTACAGTGCTGAATCTGCCAAACCAAGCTCTCGGAGATTGTTTAAGACCATAAAGAGACTTGGGTAACCTACAAACCATATTCGATGACTCCCCCTGAGCAACAAACCCAGGTGGTTTCTCCATATATACTTCCTCTTCAAGATCACCATGTAAAAATGCATTTTTGATGTCAAGTTGATGAAGAGGCCAATGTCG